TGTCTGTCTGTCTGTCTATCATCTCTCTCTATATATATATATATATTATGGTTTTTATGATTGGCTCCAGGAGGAGGAGAGAAAATGGATCAGGGAAGACCCAGTTGCTCATTTAGCCAGTGGCCTCAGTGTTAGACTGAAGAATTGCTTTGTATGTCTCCGAACACTAAGGCAAACACCTGCCTGGTTCAGTCTCACAACCTAAATGGGCAGAAAGGACACAATTTGCATTGCTGTTGCAGAAATAGTAGTCATGGCTCTTTTTGTAGAGCCATGATATCTGCAGTATGTGCCTCTGTTGAAATTCAGAACAGGTCAAAGAAACACAGGCTGGGGGCCTTTCAACCTGAACACGGCATGGACATACCCAGCAACCTCTTTTTTCTGCTATGTCCCCGTGATATTGCTTCATTTTGTCCCCAACCCATACCAGAGACAGTTTAAAGTCACCCTTACTTGTTTTGGTGTTAAAGTAATGTTTCCCCTACTTAAGCAGATATCAAACCATGGCAGTCCTATCATGGGAACAATTCACCAACCATTTTGTCAATGGTGACTCCTCAGGGAGGGGACTAGCCGCCATCTATTGGCCACTTTAGGTTGATGCAGGCATGGACCCTCCCTTCCAGCTACCAGAACTGTCCTCCGGGGCCATTCGGGACTGGGCAGACCTTTCAACTGCCATCACGGTTCCCACACCATGGAATAATGACTTTTCTTGAAGGTCTATTTAACATGGAGTAGAGACTTTCATTAACATACACCTTCATCACATCATTCCCATTCAGGTTAACCAACTTCATTAAAAGCCCCGAAAAAGTTGCAAGCACAATTTAAAAGCAAGATGTAAACAGGAAAGAAAAAAGAAATCTAACTCCACCTAATGTGGTAACATTGGGGGAAAGAAATGAAGAGAGAGGGCCTCCAAATGGGCCAGTGTCGGGCAGGTTTCCTTTTCCTTTCAAATATCTTGGCTTACTGCATGAAAGTTGAAATGCATCTGGGGGAGCCACATGTTGCCAGGAGACATATGTAGCACTCCTTCCCCAAAATCATGTGGCACCTGCTTCACATTGTATTCACTCAGTGAAACTGATCTCTGCTATACCCAAAGGAGGAAAAAAACCTAAACCTTTACCCCATACATAATTTGTGGATGAATACAGAGCTTCAAAATATCAAGGTAATAAGGAAGCATTAGGAACAAAACTTCAGTGTAAGTTTAGTAACAAAGCCAGAAGATGGGCAGTCAGCTTCTCCTGCCTTCTGATATTACCTAAGTTAACTTTTCAGATTAAGAAACATATAGCTATGAAGAGCTATAAAGAGAGAAAACCAGCAGGATCCGGTGGAGGTCGCAAGTGTGTTGCAGTGAGAGATGTACAATTATCTATCTGTAACACAGGAGTTGCTGGCATGTACTCAGTGCAATGAGCTCTTGATCATCAATGTATTAGATTAGTTCATTCAAAACCAAGATGGCTGACTTAGCACCTCAAATTTTAGTTATTCTTACAGCACATAGATTAAACTATTGACACAATGGGATGGCTTTAATTTTAGTATTGAATGTAAATGTTGGTCAATGACAATAAAGAACGATAACAAAGATGGCTGACCTAAAGATACTGAAAAGAGAGATCTGAAAACTGAGAACTTTAGGGATGAAATACTGTGTTTTGGATGATAAATTTACTGAATTAGTCTCTTTTTTGAGGAACAAATATATTGAATTGTATTGAAGGCACATCTCTAGAGGGTGGAGTTCTCCTTGTTCTAGCCAAGTAAATCATTAATAATTTTTAAAGAGGCAAAGAGATCGGGTAATGACTTGTCTGCTTGGTGCAAAGGTTGCAGAAGTCATCCAATGTTTAGATAAGGCGATAGATAGTGCTGGTGGATGCAATGATCCTACTGCACATAAACATTTCTTTCCCAACGGGGGGGAATTAGCTGTGAGTCCTTGGGAGGCAAATTTCCCCACATTGCTAGGTAGGAGGGTGAGAAGCACTTCCTCCAAGATAAGTATAATGCTACCTCTTCCATATGAAGGACCAGTGAGATAGAAAAAAACTGAAAGACATCAATATGAGTTACTGTTATAAGAAGGAAGGAGAATATTTGGAGAAATATTTTGGCACAGGATGCCTATACAAAAGGAGTGGTCTCTCTTTGATCCAAAATGGTACCAGAAATACCAGAAAGATGGCAGAACTGCTTTTAATGGGATTCCTGAAGAAAAGCTCAGAAGAACTGGGGAACATCCTGTTCATAATGAATCATATCTAGCAGATGAGAGTGAAACTGTTCTTAATTGCCTAGATGACGTTGCAGAGAAGCCCTTTTTAGCCTGCCTCCTTGAACATGCACCTTTGCTTGACTTAATTTTTGAGATTTGGATTTAAATATATGCAGACTTCACTGGGG